AGAACATAGAACACAGAACATAGAACACAGAACATAGAACATAGAACAGTACAGCACAGTACAGGCCCTTCAGCCCATGATGTTGTGCCAACCTATTATCCTACTAAGATCAATCTACCCTGCATACCCTACATTTTACTATCCTCCATGTGCCTATACAAGAGTCGTTTAAAAGTCTCTAAAGTATCTGACACACTACCACAGCCGGCAGCGCATACCACACACCCACCACTCTCTGTGTGAAGAACCAACCTCTGACATCTCCTCTATACCTTCCTCCAATCACCTCAAAATTATGCCCCCTCATAATAGTCATTTCCGCGCTGGGAAAAAGTCTCTGACTGTCTACTCTATCTATGCCTCTCATCATCTTGTAAACCTCTATCAAGTCACCTCTCATCCTTCTTCGCTCCAATGACAAAAGCCCTAGCTCCCTCAACCTTTCCTCATAAGACCTGCCCTCCAGTCCAGGCAGCATCCTGGTAAATCTCCTCTGCACCCTCTCTAAAGCTTCCACATCTTTCCTATAATGAGGTGACCAGAGCTGAACACAATATTCCAAGTGTGGTCTAACCAGAGTTTTATTGAGCTGCAGCATAACCTCATGGCTCTTAAACTCAATTCCCCTGCCAATGAAAGCCAACGCACAATACGCCTTCTTTCCAACGTTCAAAATCCTGAAGCTCCTTACTCTGTGGCCCTCTGAGGTGCTCATCCTGTGGCCCACCGGTTCAAGAAGACAGCATAACTCCGCCCTTTTCCAGGGCAATTAGGGATGAACGATAAAAACTGGCATTACCTGAGATGATCACATCAATAGGAACAAATTAAAACAATGTGAGTGTGGGGTTTTCCATTCCCAAACCACAGCATTAAGGGAAGACACTCAATTATTCCAATATACCAAATCTATCTCCCATAATCATACCTCCAACTCACCACACAGCAGTGTGAGTCACAGACAGTGCCTACATCTCGTGGACTGACTAGTTTAGAATCATACTGAGGGCAGTTTTGTGATGTTTTATTTTGATATTGTACTTTGGACAGTGACACTCAAAGGAGTCTAATTCAGACTAGGTACAGGAATGATGGGAATCAGATGTTATGTCATCCTGTCCTGATTTTGTTGCAACTATGAAGGATGTTCCTTACAGCTACTGCTTTGTCAAATATTTCCTGTTGGCCAAACTGGATTCCATATACATTGGGATGTTTTGTGTTTTAACTAAAGAGTGGTTCACATGTGGAATGAACTGCCAGAGGAATTGGTGGATGTGGGTACAGTTAAAAGAAATTTAGATAAGTGTGTGAATAAGAAATGTTTGGAGGGATATGGGCCATGCACAGGCAGGTGGGACTAGTTTAGTTTGGGATTATGGTCAGCATGGACTGGTTGGACCGAAAGGTCTGTTTCCACGCTGTATGATTCTATAACTATAATAATTTCCTCCTCTCCCTTCTTCAGCTGCTACCTCTTACAGACACCATAGTGTCACCCCTGTCAGTGCACTCTGTCCTGGGATAGCAAGTGCCACAAGACATCTGATCAGCTCGGTACTCTTCTCTATCAAAGCATGTCTGGCAGCTCCATCAGAATGAGACCAGGACTGGTCCATTAACTTGCTTGGTGTAGAGCTGTACTTTCTGGGTTGGGACAACAAAAGTCTCAGGTCTAAGAGTTGGTGTTTTGTTGGGTTGACAAGCAGCAGCCTGCAATAGCGACTTTATCCCCTTTCGATGAAGGAGGCTGGCGTACAGTCCACCATCTTTGATGTTCAAGGGCTGACCTTTGTCACTTCGACACCACATTTGCTTCTGTGCCCCCTCTTCACTCATGGGATACCAGCTGCAACGAAGGGGATTGCAACAAAGCAGAAACGTGGAATTATAATCCCTCATTCCTTCCACCTCCGCTAATTGCCACCTTTATGGGTGCCAATGGCAGCATCGTTCTGCCAAACTACTTACAAAGCTGCAACTATCTTGTTTTTGACTTGGATATCCTTTGAGAGGTGATTGAACAACATCGACTGGAAGTGGAACTGTACAACAAGTGTGGATCACATTTTCCATTGTGTCCCATTCTCAGTCACACCTGGGACACTTAGGATGGGTTGGTGAAAAGAAAAATGGGCCCCAGAGGAAAGTGTAATCCATTCAAGAAAATGTTTATTGAAGAGCTTGGCTCTTCCTTTCTCTCTGGTTGTAAGTGCGCTAAGCTCATTTGATATACTCCTCCCTCTATCAGATGATCTTGAATCCGAAAAAAAAATCCTCAGGCAGTGGCTCCCTCTTGTGTAAGATCCATGTTTTCCCACATTAGACGTGCTTAGCGTGGAGCATTTCAATCAGCAGGTTGTTACAAGGGACATCTCCATTCAAATGCTTGAGGTAGAGGTATTCTTCAGCTTGCATGCTGATGGCTCGTATTTCAGGGAGCCTGAGGAGTAGTTGTCCAAACTGGTCAGCTTGCTGTGGGAAGCACATTGTGTAGTCCATCAGAGCCCTGTTCACCTTCTCCTGAATGGTCTCGACAAAGGGGCGGTTTTCCAGGTTCTTCACGTCTGCGGAAGGGAAGAAGAATTGACGTGACGCCTCAATAAAACAGGTGCCCGCGCATGATGCCAACTGGGCAATTTCTCCAAGATAGATTTACAGCCAGCCAGTCCCTAGAAGTTCCATTCCTGGAGACTCCAGGGCAACCCTGCAGGGTTGGCGACCCATCCCAGATCCCAAAGCCATTGGAAGCTGGCTTGAAACAAACCCCGGGCCATGTTTTCGTGCCTTACCAGGGCTGAAGAGTACCAAGAACTTCAGGCAGACAAACTCATGCCGGTCAGTGTGCAGAGAGCGAAGTTTAGTGACCAGCTCCTGCGTGCGGGTCACCAGGTTATTCAGCGTGGCTCCTGATTGGGAAGTGATGGTTGACAGATCAATCTGAGAAGGGAAGAACATTCATTAATCAATGAGGAAATGTCACAGAGTTGTAGCCTCACCAATTCACATCCCTGATTTTAATCAGTCTACCTTTGACAGCTATCCCAGAATCTCAAGAATCCTAAAAGAAAACATTCTCCTCTCCTTTTAGAGTCCTCCTTAAAATCTTTGACAGTGATTATGTTAATATAATTTGTTTTTAAGTTTGGATTTTTGAATTGGTGACATATGGGTTTTTCAGTGTACCTGAAGAGTTTAATGATTAACTTGTAAGTATTTCTTTAGCCATGGTGATTTCTTCCAAAACAGCTTGAGGGAGGAAGTTTTCAGAACTAATCAGTTTTTGTTTACTTCAAAGAGTTTTTGACTGAGAAAGATCCTCAGAATGGTGCCTTAAGCTTTCCGATGGAAGTTTCTAGATGTTTTTTCAAACACCTATAAGCTATGGAAAGAAAATGGTTTAGATTTTGTTTCAGTTTGGGGCATTTCTGCAGAAATTTAGATGAGGATAGATGTGTAAAGCTATTACTCCTGAGAAAGAAGGAAGATTATTAAACTTATTAACAATAGATTCCCTCAAAATTAGGAGTTTAACAACAGTGCCTTACCAGAAGTGTTAGGATAAAACCCTGAACAAGTTTGAAGCTGAGAATATTTAAGCTCAAGTGTATGAAAATTCGAGGAAGAGGCTATCAGACCTTCGAAAGTGGGTGTGGAAGTCAAAGTTAAGTCTACAGAGATGGTCGAGAGAGTAACTTTTCTTTGGTATGTGCACTGAACAAGGAATGATTGTGGGTAGGGTGTTTTTGAGATCTGTAAAGTAGTGTTTTGGCGATTAATGGGATTATATGTTACTGTGTGTTTCTTTAAGGTTGTGTTATTTGTAAATGGTCTGCATTTTTCCAGTTTTTCCTCCATTCCTTTTGTATAATAAACGAGTGTTTTATTGTTAAAACCGAACATACAACATTGTGTGCTCGCGATTCAATGAGAAACCGCCTCATTAAAGCCGAAAAAGACTTTAATCTATAATCTGATTTGTCCCGTAAAAACATCAGATGGGATCACAACACCTGTCTTAATATCTCCTTATGTTCCGAACTGATAAATTTTGTTCTATATTGCTCCTGTGAAATATCTTAGGATATTTAACTGCGTTAAGTGTGATATATGAATGTAAGATTTTGGTATGTTAAGAGAAATACAGATGGGTGAGTGTGGCCTGTTTCTGTGCTGTTCCTTCTATATAATGTTACGGCAAAATGAGGAATTTTTACCTGTTGCCCCGTTACCAGGAGGACACTTGACTCCTTCCCATGGGCCACTTGCCGATAGATATGGTCCATGACCAGAAGTTCGCTCCAGCAGTTCTGGAGAAGTTTCATCTGGTCATCCACCTGTGGAAACACAAACACAGAAAGCTCAAGGACATACAGGTTAGGTGGACTGGTGATGGGAAATGTGGGGTTACAGGGATAGGGTAGAGGGATGGGTCGGGGTGGGATGGGTCTTTAGAGGGTCTGTGTGGAGTCAGTGACCTGCTTCCACTCTGCAGCAGTTCTATGATTCTGTGAGCTGTTAGAATCAGCTCTGAGCTGCTGGCTGAAGTTTTCTGTTGAATTTCTCTACTGTGTTCAAGGTAAACTGCTTTCACCTGACAGACCAGCGTAGCTTTAACAGTGCTTTAGGTAGGTGGAGTGGTGGTATTGTCACTGGGCCTAATAATTCAGAGACCCAGGCTAATATTCTGGGGACACAGGTTTAAGGATGTTGCTGGGTTAGAAGTGTTTGAATTGTAAAGAAAGGCTGGATAGGCTGGGACTTTTTTCACTGGAGCATAGAAGGTTGAACACTGATCTTATAGCAGTTTATAAAATCATGAGGGGCATAGATAGATAAGATAGTTGTCTTTTCCCTAGGATGTGGAATTTCAAGACTAGGGTGCACATTTTTAAGGTGAGACGATAAAGATCCAAAAAAGACATGAGGAGCAAATTTTTTACACACAGTGTCGTTCGCGTGGAATGAACTTCCTGAGGAAGTGGTGGATGCGGGTACAGTTACAATGTTTAAAAGACATTTGGATAATCACGCAAACAGTAAAGGTTTGGAGTGATATGGGCCAGGAGCAGGCAGGTGGGACTAGTTTAGTTTGGGATTATGTTCAGCATGGACTGGTTGGACCGAAGGGTCTGTTTCCATGCTGTATGACTCTATGACTGTAAGTCCCACTGCAGTAGATGGTGAAATTTGAATCAATAAAAATGTGGAATTAAAAAAAAATGCTGACATAATGGTAACCATGCCCTTTTAAATGACAGAATCATTACAGAGCTGAAGAAAGCCTTTTTTTAATTCATTCATGGGATGAGGGTGTCACTAGCCAGGCAGCATTTATTGCCCAGAAGGCAGTTGAGAGTCATCTACGTTGCTGGGTGTCTGGAGTTACATATAGGCCTGACCAGGTAAGGATGGCAGTTTCCTTCCCTAAAGGACATTATTGAACCAGATGAGTTTTCCTGACAATTAGCAATGGCTTCCAGATATTTTATTTAATTCAAATTCCATCATCTGTCATGGCAGGATTTGACCTGGGTCCCCAGAGCATTATCTGGGTCTCTGGATTAACAGTCCAGCAATAATACCACTACACCATCGCCTCCCCTTTGGCCAATCAGGTCTGCACTGGCTCTTCAAACATGTATTGTGCCAATCTCCTGTTTTCTCCCCATACCCCTGCATGTTATTTCTATCCAAATAACCATCCAATGCCCTCTTGAATGCATCAAGTGAACCTGCCTCCACCACATTTCCAACTACTTGCTGAGTGAAAACCTTTCTCCTCACATCACCCTTGCTTCTTTTGCCCATAGTTATAATTCCATGCCCCTCTCAAACTTGGTCATTTTGCGAGGGGAACAGTTTCTCCCTATCCTCCCAATGCAGCTCGCACATGATTTTGTAAACCTCTATCAAATTTCCTCCTAGGCTTCTTCTGACCAGGGATACGAGTCCCAACATCTTCACTCTAGCCTCATTTATTTTTATTTCTCATTCCTGGAGCCATTCTTGTAAATTGCTTCTGCGCTCTCTCCAATCCATTCGCATCTTTCCCATAATATGTCACCCACAGCTGTATGCAATACTCCAAGTGATCTCTAATAAGTGGCTTGTACAAGTTCAACATCATCCTCTTCCTCTTATACTCTATGCTCCTATTATTAAAGCTGAGGACACTTTATGCTTTATTAACTGCTCTCTCCACTTGTCGTGCCACATTCACTGATCTGTACACGTATACACCCAGGTCCCTCTGCTACTGCAGCCCTTTTAGAATTCTACCCCTACTATTTCACATTGTCTTTCAATGTTCTTTCAATCAAAGTGCATCACCTCACACTCCTCTGCATTGAACCTCATCTGCCACCTACCCACCCATCCACCAACTTGTCTGAGTCCTTTTGGAGTTACGCACTGTTCTCCTCACTGTTTGCAATTCTTTCGAGTTTCGTGTGATTTGCAAACTTTGAAATTGTGTCCTGCACACCAATAGCCACAATGTGAACGTATATCAGGAAAAGCGAGGATCCCAAAAACAACCTCTGGGGAACTCCACAACAAAGATTCCTCCTCAGGGAAAGAAATCAGCCATCCTTACCCAAGGACCATAAGATACAGGAGCAGAATGGCGCTATTCAGCCCATTGAGTCTGGTCTACTATTCCATCATGGGTGATATGTTTCTCGAGCCCATTCTCTAACCTTCTCCCTGTATCCCTTGAACCTCTTACTAATCGCGAACCTATCTATTTCTGTCTTAAAGGCATGCAATAACTTTGCCTCAGATCACTGTGGAAGCCATGAGTTCCACAGATTCCCCACCCTCTGGCTGAAGGAAACCCCCCTGGGTCTGACGCAACATGTGACTCCAGATGCTCAGCAAAATGGCTGACTCTTAACGGCCCTTCGAACTGGCCCTAGCCCTAGCCCAATTCAAGGGCAGTTGAGGATGGGCACTAAAAGCCGGCTTGGCCAGCAATGCCCACATCCCATAAACAAATACGCAAAAAAGTAATTAAACTTAAAGTTCAGACCGACTCTATTTGTGGTGTAATAGCCCAAGCCTGATTGGAAGGCCTCACTGGGAAGTCCGATCCCATGCCAAGCAGCTGGTGATGGGATTAAATGCCAGCAAAAAAGATCAGTGAACCCAGGAGAGGTGAAGCAAACGATACCGTGAAATCCTCTGCACCCTGTGTGCTTTGAGATTAGGCAGCAGGAGGCAGAGACAGGAGCTGAGGAAGCAGGATGGAGATGCTGAATGATTTATTGCAAGTTTTCTTTCCTGTATGACTCTCTCTGGATCAGCGAGGAAGTAAGCTCCACGCTCAGACATCAAAACACGCAAAAAAAAAGTCCAGTCGGGAAAACGTGGGCATTTTCCTGTCATTTCCTGCTTTCAATGCAATGGTGTTTGCACCATCCTGTTTGACATAATCTCTTAGATAACACATTCAGTGCAGAAGAGTGATCTAAAATAGCTTGTCCTGGCTTAATGGGGGCACTGCCTGTAAACATTCCAGTAATGTGCTAAAATGTGGCAGTTTAGCAGCACTTTATAGCTGGAAAACAACATATTAGAGATGGAATTGTAGCAAAGATGAGTTCAAATTGTTGATTAAAAACCATTCCACATCTAGTCTTGTTTCTCCCCCACTTGCTAACGTTCTGTTTAAAGAATCCGTTATCGAAGGAAAAGGAAACAAAAGCAAATTAAGTATCAAAGTAAGCAAGCTGTTGCTCCCTGGACATTGGTCATTGGGTGTTGAGCTCTCTCAGTCATACTGGGCCGTACATGTTACTCATTACAGGGCTCCTCTCTCTGATGTACTGAACACCAAAAGGAACAAAAGATTCGCTTTCACAAGATGGAATTTTGAATCATGATGAAGTCATTTTGGGGAAGTTAGGACTGTCGTCCTGGAAAAGAGATGGATAAGAGGTGAATTAATTGAGGTATTCACTGACATGATGGGTCTGGACAGAGTAGACAGGGGGAAACTGTGCCCACTCTTTGAGAGAGAAGACAGAGATTTAAAGTAATTGGCAAGGAAGCAAAAACAACACGAGGAAAAGCCTCTTCCCATAGTGTGCATTTAAGGGCTTTCTTAGCTCCAAGAAAGGGCCACTTGACCAGAAACGGTAACTCTGATTTCTCTGCACAGATGCTGCCGGACCTGCTGAGCTTTTCCAGCAACTTCTATTTTTTTGTTGTTTAGCTCATTTGGCAGCATGGGTGGTCTCTGATAGAAAGTGATAGCAACAGCATGGGTTCAAATCCTGCACTAGCTGAGGTTACCATGTGGGTCTCTCCTTCTCAACCTCTCTCCTGAGGCATGGTGACTCTCAGGTTAAACCACTGCTGTCTAATGAGAGAGTAGCCCTATGGTCTGATGAGACTATGCTGACTTCTGGTTAAGGCCTGTAATACACATCTCGAGGGACTGCTGGTTGAGTTGAAATATTCACAAAGGAATGAGGCAGTTATCTAAAAAGAAAGCATGGGGAGAAGGCAGGGGAATGGTACTGACTGAATTGTTCATTCAGAGACCCAGCGCTGACATGATGGTTTGAATGGCTTCTTTCTACACCATAACAATTAGAATCACAGAATCATAGAGATGTACAGCATGGGAACAGACCCTTCATCCAATTTGTCCATGCCGACCGGGTATCCTAAATTAATCTAGCCCCACTAGTCAGCATTTGGCCCATTTCCCTCTAAACTCTTCCTATTCATGTACCCATCCAGATGCCTTTTCAATGCTGTAATTGTACCAGCCTCCATCACTTCCTCTGGCAGCTCGTTCCATACACACACCACCTTCTGCGTGAAAAAGTTGCCCCTTAGGAACCTTTTAAATCTTTCTTCTCTCACCTTAAACCTATGCCCCTCTAGTTTTGGACTCCCCTACCCTGGGGGAAAGACTTTGACTATTCACCCTATCCATGCCCCTCATGATTTTACAAACCTCTATAAGGTCATCCCTCAGCCTCTGACTCTCCAGGGAAAATAGCCCCAGACTGTTCAGTCTCTCCCTCAAGCTCAAACCCTCCAACTCTGGCAACATCCTTGTAAATCTTTTCTGAACTCTTTCAAGTTTCACAACATCTTTCCGACAGCAGGGAGACCAGAATTGAAAGCAGTATTCCAAACGTGTCCTAACCAATATCCTGCACAGCTGCAACATGACCTCCCAACTTCTATATTCAATGCACTGACCAATAAAAGCAAGCGTACCAAATGCCTTCTTCACTATGCTGTCTACCTGTGACACCTGTCCACTTTTCACATGACTGGATTTTTCCAAGCACTTTACAAGGAATGAGTTAGTATG